CCTTGTATTGCTTTTGGCAGATGTGGTACGGGCCTTCTTCTCCCTCCTTTGTTATTGTTTTTGTTGCAGTCCTTTTGGGGGGAAGGGGACTGTAGAAAAATGGTGAGAGGGGAGATTTTTTGATTCGTTTCTCACTCTCTGGAACTGGGCGTCCTTTGGTAGGCATAATGCCCGCTAAGCTGCGCAGATCCGCTCTTTCAAAGGAAAAAGTCCCGTGTTTTTTTTTTTTATGGTGGTTGATTCTAAGGGTGCGCTGACTGGAAGTCTAGCTGCTGTGTAGAGCGCTTTCGAGTCCCTGCACACCACTTCTACACAACTCTCTTTTTTTTGCTAATATGTTGCAAATTGAAGTTAAAAAATTGTTGTCTTTCATTCGGTTTTGTAACGAATTGTTTGTGGTTATGTTTCTCTAGCTTTTGGTCCTAAATTCGCTTCACGCGGTTTAACGTTTCTTGGGGAAAGTGGATTCCGGTTTGTCTATCCGCACACAGAGACACATACACACACACTGCCTGCGCGGGAGCTGGGAGAGAGACGTAGTATGCATCGGTGTTGTCCATCTGCTCTGTGGGTTGCGGAGTAGAGGGAATTGGTTGGTAGGTGAGCGGTTCGTGTTACAGATGACAGAAACATGTATAATGTTCAAAAAGACGATTTGTATTTTCTTTTCGTTTCCTCAATGTGTTTCTTGTTGAATAGAGGAAGGGAGGTAAGTCGATTATCTGGAGTTTTGTTCTTTCATTGTGAAAGAGGCAGGATGATTGACCTTAGAGGACGACTGTTAGTCTTGGTGCTCATAATACTCCTTGTGGTTCTGACTGCGGCTCTGCAAACATACTCCGCTCGTGTGCCTGTACGAGTCGCTGGTGTAGTTAACGACGCACCAGTCGCTGATGAGAAGCCCCAAATCGAGAATATTCCGAACCAGTCGTATGAGTTCCGCATATTTGTATTTACATATTCACGCCCTGAAGGGGTGGAAGTGCTTCTGTCTTCCATTCTCAACTCGAACTACTCCAAGGCACGCCCTGGTACGGTCGATCTGGAGGTATTCGTCGATTACAGGAGGCGTGACGACAGCGATATTCGGGGGAAGCAGGACACTATACTTCGAATGCTCAAGAATATTTCGTGGCCGCA